AGCAGCCGTCGCGGAAAGAAGATCCGGACGTGTGAGTGATTGTGTAATTGGGAGCGTGTGATACAGTGATACCTAGCTCCCCTACTGTAAACGTGTAGACTACTGAAGACAGAGTGAACTGATTTGCGCATAGGGTTATAAGTCGTGAAACCCCGCAACAGTGTTAACAGATTAATGCGATTAGGGTTATAAAGTGTGAAACCCCGCAACTGTGTGATAATTAATTGTAGCCGTTATTTGTAGATTGTTAAATAAACCAATTAACCATCTCTACAGCGTCTTCAGTAACGCAAAAACGTTACACTATCATACCACAAATTGAGAAATAGTGGGTCAAACCTACAAACACACCAAATCAGTTCATATAAGATTTGACAGTGGTGAAGTACTACTACACTATAAACCTTCATCCAACACATATGAATTGCAGTATTGCACCCAATTCAGGCTTCATTTGTACCTAGGATCCTTCACTAAAGTGGCCTGAATGAAGTCCTTGGCATTAGAAGACACTCCATCGAATAGTTCATCAGGAAAGCTAAGGCAGCATTGGGAAATGTTACAGAATGTCTCTTGTTTGTTATCTCCAGCAAATGGTGAATAGCCAGACAGAAGTACATATGCCAGTACACCCACAGACCTGCAAACATAACAACAGTAACTATGAATGTGTTCTATATAGAAAATGTTGTTGGTATGTTATTTAATCTTTACAGATCATTTAGTATCAAATAACATAACAGGATGAATGGGAAAGAAAGCTGACCTGTTACAAAATAAAGTCCACACATTAAGAACATCTGTACACATGAACAAAGAAAGCCATTACTTATGTTAACATTAAAAAATGTTGTCACTTCATATGTAAAAAATTAGTCACTTTTCAAAATTACTTTCGGCAGTGAGGTGTAGTCCCTACACTCTTCAAGAATATGAATTGGGGAAAACCCCCTTCGGGGGGGTTCTGTCTAACACACAAAGCTCGGATTTACATGCTAACTTCAAAGATTAATAGTTGTCCTGTTTGACTGCTTTATTTCATTTCCAGTATTACAACCATACTGCTTACTACTATTATTCTTTCCAAATATATTATGTTTAAGCTTAATTAAGAGTTAAAGAAATTGAGTTCAGAGTGCTGAAAAAAAAAGACTCATGAATGATCTCCTTACAAAACCTTTTTGTAACTTGTAGACTTCCTATACTACTTTGGAATTTGTTTACAGAGAGTGAGAAAACCAATAGAAAACCTCAGTCTGGCTAGCCAGTGCTACAGCCATAAGAGAACCCAATAGTAAACTTCTCTCTGGCTACCCAGTGTTGCAGCCACAACAGAAACAAACAGTAAACTTCACTCTGGCTAGCCAGTGTTGCAGCCACAACAGAAACACACAGTAAACTTCAGTCTGGCTAGCCAGTGCTGCAGCCATAACAGAACCCAATAGTAAACTTCACTCTGGCTACCCAGTGTTGCAGCCACAACAGAAACACACAGTAAACTTCAGTCTGGCTAGCCAGTGCTGCAGCCATAACAGAACCCAATAGTAAACTTCACTCTGGCTACCCAGTGTTGCAGCCACAACAGAAACAAACAGTAAACTTCACTCTGGCTAGCCAGTGTTGCAGCCACAACAGAAACACACAGTAAACTTCAGTCTGGCTAGCCAGTGCTGCAGCCATAACAGAACCCAATAGTAAACTTCACTCTGGCTACCCAGTGTTGCAGCTACAACAGATACAAACAGTATACTTCACTCTGGCTACCCAGTGCTGCAGAAACAACAGAAACAAACAATAAACTTCAGTCTGGCTATACAGTGTTGTAGCTAAAACAGAAACAAACAGTAAACTTCACTCTGGCTACCCAGTGCTGCAGCCACAACAGAAACCAACAGTAAACTTCAGTCTGGCTACATAGTGTTGTAGCTAAAACAGAAACCAATAGTAAACATCACTTTGGCTACCCAGTGTTGCAGCCACAACAGAAACAAACAGTAAACTTCACTCTGGCTACGGCTACCCAGTGTTGCAGCCCCAACAGAAACAAACAGTAAACTTCAGTCTGGCTAGCCAGCGGTGCAGTTACAACAGAAAACATTTTTATGGAAAAAGGAGAGCTTAAGAAGTTCAGACCACTATTTTATTAATATCTCTTTGCATGGTTTTGGAAAGCATAATATAATTTGCATGTTGATGACCTTTATGTGACTGTCATCTTGCAAAACAGCAGTCACAGATGAGACTGCTATTCATGATAACATTAAGATCAGACTAATTCCAGGAAATATGTCATGCCATTCCATTTGGAAAATTTGAACTTCCAGTGTGCTTTTCAAAATACAAAGTAAATAACAAACCCTTTTTTTTTTTTTTAGGTCTTTCATTCTGGTCCGACACAAGCATCACAACACACAGACAAGCAACATCAACTACCGACAGACAACACACGCCAACAACATCCCGAAGCAAAAAGATTGGGCCAAGCGGGAAAGAATTCTAGGGATTTTAAGAATTCTTACTTCAAATAACGAAACATAATTTTACAGAATTAACGACGAATCAAATAAGGAAGCTACTGTGGTGTGTGAAAAACTTTTAGTGAATCGACATTCTGGGTAATTTTAACTATTTGTAATTATTTTAATTAACTGGAAAGTGGCTATCTTGGACAAAGTGAAGTTTTGTGTGTTGGTGATTTCTTTTTCTACTATAAATGCCTCTGATGATGGCTCCGTGGTGAGCCGAAACATGTAAGGCAGGTGTTGACGAGGTGGAAAACTTAAAAAAGTGTCACATTTGACGGAAGGAACTTGATTGTTAATAAACACTTGTTAAACCTGACATAAATTTAGCTGTTATTTTATGTGGTCTTTCACTCTGAGGAAAGAGCACAGAAGTTTTATGTCTCATGTTGACTTGGTGTGTCATAATGTATTATATAGTTGACAGCATAAAAGCAATGCAAGCCACAGATTCAAGGTGACTGAAGAAAGTACCAAGATCATCTGAACCAAAGAAAGCTGAAATGAGTGAGATACAGCATAAATACGGAAGAAAGAAATCGTACATTTTGGGTTGAAAACCAAATAAGAAGAAATCACATTGGACTGATATGGAGGATAATAGTAATAGTATGTATCACAGAGATACAGGCTGTGAAAATAAAATGGTTCTGGATAGAGCACAAGAATGATGATGTTATGCTTCCTTAACAAGGGAATTCTCTCTTCATATCACTATCAACTGCTCCAGCAAGGCTCTGTAACAGAGAATTAAGAAAGGGGACTGTTGCAAGACGTATTCATGAAAATCATAAAAACAATACACTCACCAGATATCAGTGGCAAGGCTGATTGGTTCATAGCTCAGTATTTCAGGTGCTGAAAGAGATACAAGATTGACTGTCATCACATTCTGTAAAATGAGGTTCAATCACTCCACAAATTGTATAAAAATAACTGTTCATTATTAATGCACTATGGATTTAAGTATACTGGCAATTTTTAATCATGCAACCACTGGAGTGGTACCCTTGTACTAAATGCTCAAGTGTCATAATAATTCCACTCCAAATTTAACATTACTAGTAGTGGGAAATGAAATGAAATGAAATGAAAGGAAAAGTAAGGTCTTCTGGGTTGCATTGCCATTTACTTTGAAAAGGGCCCAACAGTATAGGCCTGTTTATTTCTGGAATTATCTTTAACTCTTACAATGGAGGTGATATGTCCCTTCAAAATGTCAGGCTCCTCCAAAACTGCATGGGTTATAATTCAGATGACTTTACTCCTCCAATTACAACCGAATGTATGTAAAAAATCAACATACCTCTCCACGTATGTGTGTACAAGTGTGCATGCATGCATGTATGTGTCTGTGCCCATATCTCTGTGATCATGTGTGTGCATGTTGGTGGAGAAGTAAGTATTTACTCATGGAGCTGAGCCCTTCTGGGGGAGCCGCCAATTCTGCAGCTACTCAACAATTTCCCAGCATTTCATGGAACACTAAGGTTCATCACCATGTTCACAAGAGCCCTCCAAGGATCCCTATCCTTAGCCAGAGCTATCCAATCCATACCATCCCATCCGATCTCGATAAGATCCATTCTAATATTGTCCACCCACCTACGCCTTGGTCTTCCCCATGGTCTCTTTCCTTCTGGTTTTCCCACCAATATCCTATATGCATTCCTCGTCTCCCCCATTCGTGCTACATGACCTCCCACCTCATCCTCCCTGACTTGATCATTCTAATTATACTTGGAGAAGAGTACAAGTTATGAAGCTCCTCATTATGCAGTTTTCTCCAACCTCCTGTCACTTCATCTCTCTTCGGTCCAAATATTCTCAACACCCTGTTCTCAAACACCATCAGTCTATGTTCCTCCCTTAATGTTAGAGACCAAGTTTCAAAACCATTCAGAACCACCGGCAAAATTATAGTTTTGTATATTCTAATTTTTATGTTTTTTGACAACAGACGGGAAGACAAAAGGTTCTGGACTGAATGGTAGCAAGCATTACCCGAGTTCAATCGCCACTTAATTTCCTCTTGAATCAGGTTTCGATCTGTTACCGTTGTTCCCAAATATCTGAACTGTGCCACATTTTCAAAACATCTGTTTCCTATCTTTATGTCATGATTTTGCACTGGAGTTTGGTGATGAGACAGTAACATATACTTAGTTCTCTCTGTGTTTACTTCTATACCAACCTCTTTACTTGCGTTAATTAAAGTTTGTGTGTTTTTCTTTATGGTATCAACATTATCACCCAGTAGATTCACATCATCAGCGCAGACCAACAGCTGATGTGTCCCGTTTAATTTAAGTCCCACCTGGTTTCCCTGGACCTTCCTAATTGCATATTCTAAAGCAAAGTTGAAAAGGAGTGGCGATAAAGCACCTCCTTCTTTTAAACCATTCAGGATAGGAAATTTATCAGACAAATGTTTACCTATACGGTCTTTATTATACCTGTACATTTTGTTTAAACACATTTTAATCAACCTGACTAGTTTCATGGGTATCCCACACTCTATCAGAATATTGTACAATACTTCCCTCCTAACTGAATCGTAGGCTTTCTTGAAGTCTACGAATAGCTGATGTACTGTCTCATCGTACTCCCATTTTTTCTCCAATATCTGAAGAATGCAAAAGATCTCATCTGTAGTTGATCTGTTACGCCGAAACCCACACTGATGATCCCCAATAATTTCATCTATATATGGACTTAACCTTGAAAGAAGAATATTGGACAAAATTTTATATGAAGTTGATAGCAGTGATATCCCCCCATAATAACTACAGTCAGTTTTATCACTCTTCTTGTGTACTGGTACAATAATAGACTCCTTCCACTGATCAGGCAATTTTTCCTTATGCCAAATATAAGTAATTAGATTATGGATCTCAGAATGTAATATTTGGCCTCCTGCTTGAATATGTTCTGCCGGAATTTGATCACTACCTGGCAATTTATACAGTTTCAATTTTGCAATAGCACTTTCAACCTCAAAAGGGCTAGGATCAGGAATTAATGGCTCAGCTGTATCAATTTCTGTCTGCCTAACAACACTGACCCTATATACATTCAATAACTGAGAGTAGTAGTTCTTCCACCTATTCAAAATGTGGGAATCTGCAAGCAGATCACCATTCTCATCCTTCACTAGGTTACTGCTAGGCCGGTAACCCCTCTTAAAGTCATTTATTCCTCCATACAGGTCTCTAATGTTCTTGTTCTTACTGTTCATTGCAAGCTCATCAATTCTGTCTTTCAGATATTCCCTCTTTTTGTTCCTGAAATGCCTGCTGGTTTCACCTCTTATATTGATCAGATTATCCCCATTTAACTCGCTTGGATCCTAAAATCATTGCAATTTGGCCTGCTTTCTTTGATCTAATAATTTTGAGCATCCTTCATCGAACCATGACTTATGCTTCTTCGGTTCATAATAACCTAGACTCTCTTTGGCAGACATTTTTATATTCTCTCTAATAGTTTTCCAAGTTTTATTAATATCCACCTCAGTGTCCAAGTTTTCCAAAGCTGCAAACCTATTTGAGATTTCAACACGATACTGCTCTTTACCCTCTACCTCATTTAATTTCTTGAGAGTGGAGGTAAGATATGAGAACATTTATGCTGAAGTATATGGGTTAAACGGAAACCTGTCAGATAGAAACAAATTTTCAGATTCCTTGGCATTCCATAAAAAGGAGATTTTACTAAGTTTCTTACATGGAGGTTGGTACGAAAACATATACATTATATATATATTTATATATTTTTTTTTTTCAAAAACACATTTGAATATTAAAATAAGTGATCAGTACTTATGAAGGAAACAAACAGTATATAATGTACTACACTTGCCTTGAGATAGCAACGAAATCCTGAGAACTGTCAAAATAACTATTTTCATTTGTATTTGAGCCAGACATCTCCTCCAAGGTGTTAATGAGAAATAAAATCTATTCATTCATATTACTTGGAGTAAGCAAAGAGTAAAGAATGCAGCACAGCTAAGAATGATGTCCTAGAACATGCATTTCTTAGTTACTGACTTTGAATTATGATAAACCATACCAACATAATCTGGTGTCCCCAAAATTTCTCGTACTTCAACTCCATTCTGGATAACCCTTGAAATCCCAAAGTCACACAGTTTAATATCACAGTCTGGATATGCACCAGTAAGGAGCAAGTTTTGTGGCTGTAACAAATTGAGACAGAAAAACACTAGTTTGAAATCAAATTAAAATGAAGGATGAACTAAACCAAATAAAGAAGGGCCCTAACAGACAGTATTATTTGCAGGGCACTTTCTGTTACCCATGCTTCTAAAGCATAACATGCTGTAACCAACACTACTGACATCTGAGTCAGATATTATTCCACATTTTCTATTCCAATAAATATTGTCGAATTTGACCAGGATATCAAACAATTAATTAGGATTAAAAATGCTGTTTTTTTTACTGATATCTCTGCCAGAAAGGTTCTTAATGGTATGGTGATAAGAATGGTAATGTTTCTTTTATTTCACAGCTAAGAAGTCTAAACAGCATACTGCCTGAAATTAATTTCACTGAACAACCGAAAGTAATCACACAGACGGAATGTCCTTAAACCATGCAAGTGTAAGTGAGCAGGCATACCCTGTCCCACTGTTTGTTATATACTATAATAAATATCGAGTACTGGATCTTGAGTTCCGTGGTTCTCATGATGGTGATCATGAAGATCACTGCCTTCTGGGATGTGACACCATGTAGTTTGGTACATATTTACCAACATTTCAGAGAAAAATGTTACAGCCACCTTTGGACTTGAAGAGTCTTAATCTGACTGCACAGCCTCACATTTCAGAAGGAAATAATCTTTAATTCTTGGGCTATTTAATGACAGTCCTTTTATCAGCAATGGTTATGAGCATTAAATGATAGGATAGGTATAAGTGAATGTATAAAGGATGTGGAAGGAAGCAGATGCAGTACATTTTACCTAGCAGGATTCAGAAACACCACAGAAACACTGAGGTTCAAGTTTGGGATGTCCTGAATGTGAATCTAGAGTCATAATTACTCAACTGTGACATTCAGTATGTAACGTGTGCACATTCATATTAGTTTCCAGTTCTGGGCTTACCTTAAGATCAAGATGTGCAATGTTATTCTTGTGTAAGTAACTGAGGCCTTCAAGTATCTGTCTCATGACTCTGGCTGCATGCTGCTCTTGTAGCCCTTCTTCAGCATCAAGCACCCTTTGCAGTTCACCACCTGCAGCTCTGCAAGTGAACGAACACAAGCAAACATGATACAACAGTGGCCTTTGGAATAGGTGTGTCAAGTGACAAGCAGGTTGTTTCACATACTGCAGCAAGACTCTCTCAGGGATCTATTCACCATCTTTAAGTAATTAATATTGTGTTTATTCACTGTTCACTTTAACGTTCATTACCAATGCCATGTATTCAATGTTACAAAAGGAATGAAGGAATGCTTAGTTCCATTTAGCTTTGTACAATACACGTGTGCAGTAACTTACTGCTTTTGATTCAGAAGCACATGTGGACAAAGTACACAAATTCCTTGTTTTACAAATTTTTACCAGAACAAAGCATGTTAATTTGCACCCATTTTTCACTTAACAAACTTAGTTTTTGATACACTGAATAACTTACGTTCATAGGTTTCATGACTGTTATACAGGAAAGGTAATAGGAATTTCATTTCTGATTTACCCTCGTAAACTGAGGGATATCTGTACTAAAGATGGTGATGGTGGAGGAATCAGAGTGAAGACATGAGGGGCTGGGACTTAATCCTAGAATGCTGTTCATTTTATGACAACAACAGTTTTACTGAACTGCAAGTTATATAGGAACAATGATGCTGTTTCAGGCACATACTGATAACACTAATACCACACCATATAAAAGTGGAAATGTTGCAGGAAGAAGATTAATGGTTTTACCGCAGAAACGGAAGCCATCAAAGCAAGGACAAAAGCCATAAGAGAAAGGATGGCCGCAGAAAGGGAAGCCATAATAAAAGAAATGAATGCGAACCAGGCAAATGCTGATGCTGAATGGGAAGCCTGGCAAAAAAGAATGGCCGCCAGTCACAAGCAGACGGTGGCCGAACTCAAACCCGAAGCGGACAGAAAAGCCGCTCGAGAAGTAGTCGAACCCGAAAAGGACAGAGACGACGGCCTGCTAAGAGATGCAGGTATGTCAAGAAAAGGAGGAGCCAACTTCACTGTACAGGAAACCTGAGGCGGTAGAACAACGAGAGGTCCCTGAGGAGAACGCCGAAGTAATACCGGTCGGGGATCCGAGGAAGAAAAGGCGCAAGGACCGAAAACTGGTCGCGGAGCGCCGCCACCAGATGAAGGAACAGACCCAGTGTCAGGATGGGTGCTGAGGAAGGCTGATCGTTGCCCAAAGAGGAACGAGCCACCATGCCACAGTGGCACGGCAAAAGCAGAAGAAAAACGACACAAGGATGTCCCGTCGCACAACAGTGGCACGACTTCCTCAGGAACACCACCCAGAAAAAGTATGGACCCCACAGGAGATTGGGATTGGCCAGCAGGGGGACGACCCACCGTGCGAGAGTGGCACAGCGCAAAGGAATCGCCAGAAAGAACTGGGTCAGGGACAGCGTACTGAGGGGAACCGTGACAGAACAGATGTCTGGGAGGAGACGTCAGTCGCAACGGAAATGCAACGAGGGCATGAGAAACCATGATGTAGAGGAACTGCTACACCTGAGAGAGAAGAGAGCAACCAAGATGTTAGGCGGGTTGTGGAGAAACTCGACGTTGTTGAGGTATCAACGTCCTCCGGAACGACAAAACAAGGATTGGACACTGTGGAGGGGTCGACTCCCTCCGAAACGGAAAAAGGAAAGAAACAGAACATAGATGAGGAACCGGTAATATAGAAGCACCGGCATCCCCAGGGAGAGTGAATGGGGAGAGAATTAAAGAGAGAATGAATATGAGAGCAGAGCTCAAAACACGTGGGTTTGCCCCCATAATAGTCATGTTGTCACAAAACCCATGGAGCGAATCTTTATCGATTTCGTTGGTCCCCTTGTCCAGAGTCATCAGAGCAACCTCGTTATCTTGGTTGTTCTTGACGGCTTTTCTAAATTTGTGGCCATGTACCCCGCGAGGAAGATCACATCTAATGTGGTGGTGGCTTGTTTAGTTGGGAAATATTTCCCTTCTTTTGGGATTCCCAACTGCATTGTTTCGGACAATGCCGCGGTTTTTCGCTCCCGATTGTTTTACAATACCTGCTTTTCCTGAGGGATAGAACACGTCACGATATAACCTTATTACCCCCTGGCTTCGCAGGTAGAACGCTTTAATCGAAATCTGAAGGCAGCCCTGACTATCTTCCATCACTCATAACATACCCGCAGGGATGAAAATTTACCGGGTCTTGCCGTGGCATTTAACACCGCCTGGTACGAGAATACGGGTGCTACCCCAGCTCTCCTATTCCTGGGACGGGAGTTGAACCATCCCTTGGGGTTGAGATGGGAGTTGTCTGAGTTAGATCTACAGCAGTCCCCTCAAGACACTAAGGATTTCTGGGGACGGGCTCTGACGAACTTGAAGCGAGCCCGGGATAGGGCTGCCAGACGTTATAATGCGTTGAGGAGTGAGGATGTGTTTCGCCTTGGAGACCTAGTCTTAGCAAAACGACAGCCCCAGAGCTCTAAGCTTTTACAACAATCGGCCAAAATAGCTATTAAGTGGTCTAGACCGTATGTCATTGCTTAGTTTCTGACGCCAGTTACGGTTCAATTGGGAAATCTCGAAACAGGCGTAATATTATGGAAGGCTCATATAACCCAGCTTAAGAGGTATTTTGCGGATGGTTAGAGCCGGTGGCTGAAGTTTGTTAACTACTGTAATGTAGATGTTTTGGAGTTTTTTTGTTTGTCTCTTGGGACTGTGCGCTGTGTCTCTGTAAGGCTTTTTTTTTTTTTGTGTTCTAGAGTAATGCCATCTTTCCCTTGTTCCTTCCTTAATTGGCTGCGGACGCTGGCGGCTCTATTCGGAAGCTGCTGCATACCTCCGACTTCTCGAGGGCCCGGGACGGTTGGAGAGTGCTCTGTCCACGTAGATGCGTTCCGGCATCTTCATATCCACAGACGTTCGGGGGTTCGGTGCTGCACCTCAAGAGGAAGGATCCTTCGGATTATTGGTGTGCACGCGGCACGGAGGGAGTGGTGACGTCAAGGGGAGGTGCTTCTCCCTCACACTGAACTTATTCCCGTGGTGTGATGAATGAACCCCCGACGAACCTTAGGTGGAGACATTTTGGGTGCTGGACGATGCTGAGAGGCCGTGATAGAGCTGGATGCGCCGGGAGAAGGGGCGATCCTGAACCGTCTTAAGATGATTCAAAGGGTTCGCCCCGTGGAGGACGTCGTGGGCCTGCTGTCCGGCAGAGCCAATGTTCCTATTTTTCCGGTTAAGGTCTTTGCATGACGTTTATTCATGTGAGGTCCCCCCCTTCCCCTTTCCCTTTTCCAGTCCTCCGTAAACTAGACGAGCGATCGTCCTCTTTCCCTGGGTGGCTGTTAGGCAGGGCGGTTGTCTCTGCTCTTAGAAATTTGTGTTTGGTTTTTCTATGTGTATCTAAAATTATCTGTTTCTGCTATTTGTCCCGGGAAAGTGCCCTTTGCCGAGCCATGGAGGAACGGCGAAGCAAATGAGTTTAAATATATATATTGGAAATCTGTGAGTATTGTTATGATTATTTTTTTTTTGTGTTGAGCGAAATGGGCGGTAGCCCTGATGATGGCATTGACCTGGATGGCCGGAGTAGGTCATGATCTGTTTGTTATGTATTTCTTGATATTCACAGTTGATATTTCTTTGTTCAGTTGTCAATTTTTATATATTTTTTTGTCGTTGTTGAATGTATAAGTTTTACGTTGTTACATTACAGTCATTGTAAGACCCAGTACGCCGTGTCGCTATCCGACTGTGTACTAATAACCTGCCTCGAGCGGTTAGTGAGTGTGTATCCCCCAAAGAACAGGTAAATGAACTTCCCCCGCCCCTCTCCTGAAATCCGGGCTGGTTACACTCCGGGTATGAAACGATTCACAACAACGGCTGGACCATGGAAGTGCTCGGGGCGAGCACTCTTGAAGAAGGGGGGAGGGGGGGGCGGATGGAAGGAAAGGAGGAGGTACCGCTCGGAAGATGAATACCGCGGAAATGGAAGAAAGAGGAAGTACCGTTAGGCTGTTCGGGGCCGAACAACCTTCAGAAGGGAGCAATGTCACGTGTTTGGAATCCAGAAGGGTTTACTTCCATGGAAACGCTAGAACAGACCGTTGCGTAGGAAGTAACAATAACAGTATTGTAATCCTAACAGTGAGTCTGCACGGTTACAACAGAAGGTTCACTGCGTAGCAACGGCCGCAGATATAAGAAGGTAATGCATTCGCCGAGACAGTCTTGGGATAGCCGCCGTAGAATGCAGTTGAAGTGATACTACACGTATTTGTATTTGAGTCTGCAAGAATAAATGTGTTCGGTAAATCCGAGACCTACGTGAAGTTATTTGTCGCGTAACATACGCAACACGTGAGCTGAGAGGCACTGTAATGGAAAGCAAAATTCTGTGCATTTAGAAGAACACAACTATACAACAAATATTCACAGTTGTACATATGCCTGCAACAAACCCGAAATATTCTACAGAAAAATTCCCCTGCACAGTTGTTCATATTTGATGCTATGTAGGAGAATGGATTACCAGAACTTAATAATTACATATTACTGTTTAAATTTCATTTTATTTTTAGGCTTTTATAATTATTTTAACAACTGAATCTGTGGTAGGCCTTAATTTTTAACGTGTACAGATCCAGTGCCAACTGCTGGATAACATCACCATCTATGCCTAGATGTTGGAAACTGGCCTAAAATACTAAGAAAGATACTGATGACATACCACATATGTATGAGTAAAATGTAAAGTAAAGCTATCCCTGTAACAGGCCGTGGAGGCCCATAGGGTTGTGATATGTTGAGGTTCCCACATTTTCTATGCAATCGGCTCATAGATGGCGGTAAGGTTGTCAGCCTTACGCGCCGGCCGCCCTTTACCCCCAAGAACATTCCAAGTATATTCCTGGTACTCATTTCCGTTAGAGGCTGAGTCGACCCCAGGGCCATAGTGCGGCTGGAAGGATTAGGTAAATTGAAAAAATAAAATGACATAATCGTGATTCGATCCCGCGACCTTCCAGCTTGTAACACAGTGCCTCAACCAACTACGCTACCGCGTGAAAGCTTTAAACGTCTGACATCTTGAAAATATTCATAATTTATAGGATGTCTGTTTTACTTGTCAATCCAATGAAAAACTCTTAACAACAGAAGAACAGGACAGAAACCAGTGGGCAATGTAAACACTATGACAATGAAAACTGAATCTGAGATCTTGAAAATAATATCAGTTAGCATAACAGACATGAGTACCAGGAATAAATTAAATAATTTTCCTGGGGAGTAAAGCGCGTCCAGCGCGTAAGGCTTACAACCTTACCGCCATCTTTGAGCCGATTGTCTAGATAATGTGGGACCCTCAACGTCTCACAACCTTATGGGCCTTCACGGCCTGTTACAGGGATAACTTAATTTTGTAATGAAAATGTTAGTTTCTAAAGCATATATTTTTGTTTCCTTTTTAAAAGTGGTTATTTCACTTCAATAATAGAATATTACTATAAGATTATGTTCTTCTGGAATTTCACTATGTACTCTAGTAAATGAGTACTGACATTTCTGATGAACCTGCTGCCTTTATCTTCATGGCAGCTCTACTTTAAGAATTATCCTAAAATTGTAAAAGTACTTTCAATAAAGGTTATGCATACAGTACAGAAATGAGAACTTATAGCTTGTTTAATTTCTGAACCTTCTCTTTGAGATGGAAGCATGTTCTTGTCCAAGTATGTGATTTTGTGAGTTCTTATCCTTCAATTCTACATTTAAGTCTGAAGTATGAGAACAGCCCCACACCACAATTAATTCCCACATTTTTCATCCTGGAACCGGAAGTCAGATTGGCCCAGCACTTTCATTTTATGGCCACACCCTTATCTATCTCTAGAAGAAACTCCCTGTCTGGTATTATTATATGACCCTCAACCCAAAAATTCCAAATAACTAAACCAATATTACTGTGTTAACATTTGTTTATTATTCCTGTCTAAATACCAAAACATAAGATGGCTTTAATTACTCCTATTCAGGTGTCGAACCCAAAGACTTCTGTTTCTAATCCAGACCTAAATGCATAAGTGTTCCGAAAGTTTCAGTTGTCCCATTCTTAAGCGGGTACACTACCATGAAGACTTGGGGGATTACAGGTTAAACACCACGCATTCTTCACCACAGGTCTAGTTGGAGTTACATCATGTTCAAGCACGGCGTAATTTCTAATACAGAAAACTGCTTACAGTTCTAGTATAAGCGCCATCTCCGTTGAAGTCTCATAAACTTCATTTAGTTGAACAATTCGAGCGCTGTCGGCGGCAATTTTCAGAACCGCTACCTCATGTATTATGTCCTGACGCTGATCCGTCGCACGGCGTCGTTTGCGGATGAACTTGGCTGCATACTCCACGCCAGTTTCCTTGTGTGTGCATTTCCGGACAGCCGCAAACTTTCCTCTGTAAACAAAGACGTCAATAAACGTCAATAAAATATCCCACGGTAAATTTCCCGGTTCTCTGAACCATGGAGCAAGGCAGTATGAACAATCTGTCAATTATTCTCCATATACGAGTATTTATCAAATGACACCCAGGACTGCCATACAGCTGTGAATTACACTAAGGCTGAGAGCACACGAAGAAAACTGGCAACCGCAACGGTTACGCAGTTTCCTCAGTTTGCGCTTCTCCATTCACTGACATGTGTTCAACTCAGACTAATAACAATTCTCTGAAATCGCGGTTGCGTTGCGGTTGCCAGTTTCCTTGGTGTGCCCTCGCCCTTAATGTAAAACGGCGAAGTTCGATTTAAACTTGTAATCGGCATCTCCTCGTAGATATGTAACGACATACTCTTATAACTGCGAATTAATAACTAACATACGGTGAAGGATCGTCCTAGAAAGCAGTCACAATCAGGGCCACGGCACCAGCGCACAAAGCGGCCGCACGGTGAGGCCCATTTTTTTTTTGGGGGGGGGGTTAGCTCCCTTTCAGGAAAAAGAATTTCTGTTCGTCTTTTATGAAGCTCATGCCTGTTATTAATTCACAGTAATCTACGAATATATTAAGAAACAATACAAACAACCGTTTCAAGAATTGCAACACCAATGACGGTCTTCGTCAACGCACTAAAATCTCGTGTCATTACTCGTTGCTGTGACGAAGTTTTCAGATACTAGATCTGTTACGTAACTGAGGTGCATGGGGGAGTGGAGGTTGCTTGTTTCCTAGGGTGGCACTTCGGCTTTCACCGGTCCTGCTTATTAAGTATTTCCCTGTTGGAGACCATTCTGAAGAGAAAGTCCCCCCCCCAACCCCCCAATTAGAAGTTGCTACAAGTTTTATCTAAAAAAAATAATCAGTTTATTTCCGTAGGTCTACATCAATTCTAGGAAAACGCTGTAATAAAACACTTGTCTCCTAACCGTGTCATTCGTTAATTGAAGTGCAGAAACAGCTGTCGTGCTGTCCGAACTGACGAATGCAGAGCCGATACGCAGTATGATCCAAACGTGTTCATTCTGCAAGCAGAATGCTGGATAACAGTCAGCACGCAGGTGATATGAGTGAATTTCTGCATAATGACTACAGCCAATTTTGTCCGTCGCTCTGCTCCTGCATGCACAAAACACCTAGAGCACCAGTGAATTCATTTCCATGAAATCTGATACTGTGGAGTTAACAATAAAGCGGACGGCAAATTCAAATTCCGGTTAAAATAAGGCAAAAAATAAGGACCCTTTACATAAAGGAATCATACATGGATTTCTGCATGTATCTAGGGCGCAATTCGCTATAAATTTATCGGAGCGAAACATGTTTCGAACTAAAGTTGTAGCGAAAACCAGGACGTACACTTTTCCCGCGAATCTTATGGTTTTAGAGATAATTAATCAAAATTAATATGCGAACATTTATGAACATTTAACAATCAAAAATGGAATTCCGAACACCTGAAAATAACGAAGTCCCATTTTTCTCTATTCAATAAAGAAAGTTTCCATCTACATGTATGTATACATCCTACGACCGTTTCACCTCACGTTGCTGCGCAACTTCTCTTTAACCGCCTTCCACGTTGGGCTCCACTTCTTTTTTATAACCTTCCGCCCAACTTTGTTGTGCGCCACCTCTAACTACTGCTGGCGGCTGCTGCTGGTAGGTTGCGGCTACAGCCTGCTTGATTCTCCTCGCTCTTCCTCCTTACCACCTCCTCTTCTCGTTGTCAGGTAATTTGTAGAGGGTTGGGCGCCAGTAAACTTGTGAAATTCTTTGCCAAATTTTATGAAAGAAAGAGGGGATTATTTATAAGGGGATGCTGTTGGTGAGGTGCTAGTTCAAGTGGTAGAGCTAAGAATCAAACTCAGGTCGTTTAACTGGGCCTCGCTCAGGTAGGGGAAGGTGAGCTCTCGATACTACACGCACAACACTTATTCACAAGCCACTTTATTGCAACGGCTGTCAATAGTGAACACCGCCAATGAACTGGATTGAACTTGCTCTCTTTATTCAAGAATCACTCTGCTTGTCGTTGGCAGGATGGCTAGTCGGGAGGTATCTACACTCATAGTTTAACTAATCCTTATGCTGTAACTTCGAATTTCTAACAGAATTTATAGTCACAATTGGTTGGTACCGATTTTGCGTCCGAACAGTTTGCGAGCTGGAATACCACTGAATTCGGCGAATGACTTCCTTGAAGACCCTGAGGTCCACGGTCGTCAATTCCGCAGCTAAGTCACTCCCTTTTAATTCCACTGATTGGGTAATTTTGAAATCTAGGAGTTCACACAATTTTTGGATCTCCAATCAGCTAGCTGTAGTGCGGGATTCTGACCCTTAAAGTCCTAACGTCGTTTTTGACAGCTTACTGACCGATAACCTGCTTGGCGTGGGACTTCAGCACGCCCCTTTTTAAGTTACGATGTGCAGGATCTGTCAGTGATTGTATTATCAAAGTTCGCCGTTGTGTTACTCGCAGACAAGAAGGTGACTGTGTCCCACTGGCTTGCCTATTACTTGGCCTCTGTAATTAATTCTTGTACTAAGTATTCTAATTATACTTAAAACTAGTGCGCGACAGTGGAGCGGTTACAATCCACATACAAGTATGCATAAATAGTCACGCTTTTTAGTGATTATAGACGGGATCTGAATTGGTAATCGGATTTAATGAACTTTTACTGTACAACAAGTTAACTATAAGTAAGGGTTATGCTCTCACTGTCCTACGCTCTTCACAAATCACTATAGGACACACTGGCTCTTCCAGTCTGTTATAGTCTCCACTAGCCGTTGCTTGTTAGCGACTTCCAACGGCGGAAGTTCCCCTTCCTGTGGGTTTCCGAACTACCTCCGGCCTCAGCTACCGGCTTCTCACAGCAACTGAACCCCGGAAGTTCTCTAACTCGCTCACTCACCAACAAACTACATTTCACTTCATTAACTGCTGACTCAGTCAGTTATTTCACGACTGCGGTTTACCGCCGATCTGCTCGTCTTGGCGCCAAGCCCCATGAGGCTCACGACCAGAGATTTCTTTACAACCGAACCCATGCGGTCATACTTCTTAGGTAGCATCGTCTCTGACGAGAGGATGGCTTTGTCTCTTACGAATATGTCTGGTCTTTTCGTCAAGTGTATGTATGGCACATATAGCAGAGGTCTACATGGTTATGGAGAATGCCTTCTCTTCCCGGGAAGCGGTTAGTCCGATAAAAGTGATAATTTGGAATGATGAACCTTTCATGGAGTTTGGGATGTGTCTCTGAGAGCAGAGCCACGCCTATATGAGTGTCTTGCAGCTGTTTACTGAGCTCATAGCGCCTCCTCCAAATTCCATTTGTATTAAATGCTATGACTTTAAGTGGCTTACAAACTCTAGCAGCCATTTTGTTTCATTAACTACCATTCTTGTAATGGCCACTATTTCGTCTTTTTTCTGATACTGCTTCACTGAGCTCTGTGATGATCTGTTGCAATTTTTAACGTGTCATTATTAGCCGAACTGGGAGCCTGTAATGATAAACATGTTCTCTAAATTTCCTGTTGTGGCACACGGTGCTGCACGTGGGTCAGCAAGCTTTCCGCGTATATCTGCGGTGCCTGTGGTTGCTGGTGTTTAGTGTCCCTAAGTTGTCCTGCTTACATCTCGGCATGGACCGCGTAGAAAACCCGGCTGTTACAGTACAATTGTTGCGTTCAATGTCTGTTGGCGGAGCCGTTACCTAGCAACGGCTATTGTAAAGTAGCTTATTTCGCGGTCGTTGCCTAGCAACGGGTCCACATGCCGCAATATGTATATTTAATTAAGCATAACTACCTGTGCTTGCGAAGTGCTTCATTCTCGATCGTGACTGGTCAGTCTACACCAAAATAAATGCTTCAACTGTTACAGCAAAAGATGGTAGAAACTCTTGACTCAGCACAGACCGCCATGAAACCAGCTTCATTGTATTCCTTTAATGTAGTCCTCTTTTACGGTACAACATGGCTTTGAAGCATACCAATCACCCAAGCAACCAACTAACTCCATGGAGCTGAGTCATTCTTGAGAAGCTGCCATTCGCTTAGCTACTCAAGAATTTTACGGAGCCATAAGAACCCTCCACTGGTCCCTATACGGAGCCAGATCAATTCAGTCCATAACACCCCAACCTATCTCTCTAAGATCAATTTTAATATTATTCTCCCACCCAGTCTAAGTCTTGCTTAGTGGACTCCTTCCATTTGGCTTCCCTACCAAAAGCCTATATGTATTCCTCTTCTCCCGACGCCCACCTTCCTTGACTCGTCATTCTCTTTATACGTCGCGAAATGTACAAGTTACGAAGCTCCTCACTTCAGCCCTCTCCGGTCCAAATACTCTCCTCAGCACCTTGAGACTGATTTTCTCTTAATGTCTGAGACCGAATTTCACACGCATACAAAACTACAGGCAAATGTATAGCTTTGTATACATCATTCTTTACATCTGTAGACAGCATACGACATGACAAAAGGTTCTCAACTAAATGGTACAAAATCCAACATGCTCATCATTTCATCATTATAAAATTTTGATTTGTTACTGTCGTTCCCAAATACCTGAACTTCGCCACATTTTCAAAGGATCTATTAGCTACGGAAAGCCTGTATTAAATAAGTTATATGGTCTATATATTTAATTTAGAGCGTGTAATAACAGTAAATGCTGCAACCTTAAGTACTAATTTCTCACCAACTTCAAAGAGTATAAAATAACAGAGAATATGTCTACATGTGATTTAATGTTCGCTTATTACAAGGGATGAGTTCATCAAAATCTCACTTATTCGATCTATCCAAAATAAGGGCACTTTTGGAACTACGGGATATCACTTCCCTTTCTCACATCTGCTACATTTTGTTTTCTTGTAAGTAATCTGAAAAGCATGGATGTTAGCATTTCGGTTATCTCTTTCTGAGGAACGAGC